CCTCTGCTGCAGGACAAAGCCTGGTTAATAGCACATCCAAGTGGCTTAGGTAAAACACCCCAGGTATCCGCGTGCTGTGGACACCCGCCTCTGGCCACCACAGACCAACAGTAAGTTAGCTCTGCAACCCCCTCGGCCTGGCATTTGGGAAGTACGTTACAAGCAGCTGTGTACCACTTTCTTCCGGGCAGCCCTATGCCAAGACAGGGTAGAGTTTAGATAGCTGCAGACAGCTTCTCTACAGAGGAATCCTCACACAGGCCCCATGCTCTGTGGCAAAGCCTGCCAGTGACATCTGAAACAGCCTGGGAAGCTTCATGGGGCCAAGTGGGAGGGGGTGCCTCTCAGAGGACTTGCAGCCAATAGCATTTGGCCTGGATTCACATACACAACACCACACGCATAAAACACTGAGTGCCAAACTATTTAAGAGCCACATATAAGTTGGGGCTGGAGTGATATCTCAGCAGTTAAGAGCACTGGCTGACCCAGGTTTAATTCCCAGCACCCACTGGCTGCTCACAATTATCTGTAACTCCAGTGCTAGAGGATCTGATACCCTCCCCAGTCTCTCTGGATGGTCATGCCTGTGGTACACAGATAGACAAGCAGGCAAAACACTCATACACATAGAATTGAAATTTTAATTAATTGAAAATGCTGACTGCACTTTCAGAAAGCTGTACCTCCTGTGCACTCTTAGATCCAATCGAGAACTCACAGTTTAAGGTCTCCATCTCCCAAAGTGTCCCCCAAAACAATGCCACTTAGAAGCCTCTGGTTGCTTTAACTGGAGCTTGTGACAAAGTGAGTTACCTGACTATAAATACGTGACAACAGAGGATGGTGGGGTATCAGGGTTTGAATGGGTAATGTCCCCTAAAGGCGCATGTACTTGAATGCTTGATCCCTGTTTGGTGGCACTGTTTGGGGGAGGTTATGGAAACTAGGATATGGAGCTTTTGCTGGAGGAAGTCACTGGAGTCGGGGCTTTGAGGTTTTACAGCCCTGCCCAGTTTCCTGTTCTCTGTCTCTGCCTCCTGACTTCCAGGTTGTCCACACTCCTACCACCATGCCTTCCCCACCATGGCAGATGCTCTCCTTTGGAACCATAAGCCAAAATAAACCTTTTCTTCCCCTCAAAGTGTTGCATTTTATTATAGCAAAAGAAAAGTAACTAATACAGTGGGGGAAAAGAAAAAAAAAAAACTTGACAGTGAGAAATTTGACTAGCAGACTTCAGCAACACAGCCAAGGTCAACAGCCCTGTGATAGGCCCGTGGTCTTGATGCCCAGGACCCTACCTCCAGTCTAATCATGAGGATGACCCCTGACAAACACCCACAGCCAGCATCCCATGAGTCATTCCCAGTCCTTGGAGCTGCTGAAATCCAGCCAAGATCATGCAGGATCAGCTGTGGTGCCTGGGAGGGGTCTGTGATGTTCTGAAACAGGCAGATGGTCTTCATCAATGTTCCCCAGCATACAAGATCCAAGCTAGCCTTGAACTCACTCTAGCTGAATACGACTTTGATCCTGATCCTTCTGCTTTCATCTCCCAAGTACTGAGGTTATTGTGTGCAACACCCAGTTACCGTTCCCAGTGGAGTTAGGGTTGAATCCAACTCTCAAGGATCTGGGTCGATGGAGTAGAAGGAAGCAGGAAGTAATGAAACTCAAAATCTTCTGACAGAATTGGGCCAGAGTGGGCCAAGTCCCCAGCCTCAGACTGCTTCTAGAGAGGGAGAACAGCTCCTGTCCTTGGAGCCCCCTCCCCAGGGGGCACTGTGGGAAAGCCTGCTGCCGTGAGGACAGTGAAGGTCACCATTAGACTGAACAAAGGTAGAGGTGAGATGGAAAGGCAGGGGGCACAATCCAAGGGGGGGCACTTCTAAATCAGTCAGAGGTGATGAACTGGGCAGCACAGTGAAATGTTCTCCGACGTGGGTGAACCCATGGAATTCCAGCTGCTCTCCAACACAGAAGGGCCCCAGTTTCACTTTACTCCAAGCAGAGAAGACAGTTAAGTTGGGCGTGGGAAGACAAGAAATGTGTGACCTCTTTCACAAGCGGAGTCCCTGAAAGTTGATTTCACAGAAGCTGAGAGCGAGATCTGGAGAGGGCGGAGAAAGAGCATTCGGTGAGGGGTGCAATGTGATGGGGGGGGATATTGTGGTGTTACATGGCATAGTACATGGGGGTATAACTAATACGGTTCATTGTATGTCTCAAAATAGCCAGAAGAATTAGAAGGTAGTCAACTCAGAGAACCAGTGAATCTAAGGATGTATATACTGTAACAACCCTATAGTCTCAGCATTTGTGCTTGCAGTTCAGAATGTGAGCTCCCAACGTGCTGCTCAGGCCGCCATGCTTGCTGCTGGCTGCTGGCTGCCGGCTGCCACACTCCCCACCATGATGAATTGCTATCTCTGCAACTGTAATCCCAAAGAAACCTTCCTCTTATACATTGACTTGCTCATGGTGTTTTATCACAGCAACAAAAAAAGAAATGAGTCTACAACCTAATGGACACTCAAACCAAATCATCATTCTATCTAATCCTAGCTACTCCAGAGGCTGAGAGAGAAGTTCAAAGCCTGTCTAGGCAACCTAGTAGGGCCCAATATGAGCATTAAAAAAAGAAGAAGAGGGAATAGCTTAATGGTAGAATACTTGCACAAGACCCTGGATTCAATCCCACTTCTGCTTAAATAAATAAAGTGAAAAACGTGTGTGTATTTTCTTTTTTCAAAATAGGGGCCTTAAGATGACTGTGAGAAGTCTGACCTTAAGTTCCCTAAAGCCATGGTCCACACCATTTCATAAAGATATGTCTGAGAGAAATCCTGGGCTGGAAAAGACTCTCCTCAGGCCACTTGTATGAAAGCCACGATGCCCTCATAAGGCTCTCTACTGCATCAGGAGGACTCAGCCATACCCTGTAGATGAGTCAGGGGAGCAATACAGTGGGGGCGGGAGGACTCGAACCACAAGGGTGGTAATCTTGTTTCTGCTGGGATGGAGTAGGACAAGGACGGGTGACCAGTATGAAGGGGAACGATTCTGCAACTGGAGCTGAGGAACAGAGGCCACAGACACTGCCAAGAAGCACGACTTGAGACCGATTGCTGACCAGCTTGCAGGCAAGCACTCCTAGGACGCATGCTCCCCATTGGAACCACTGCTGGATGCAGCCGAGACATGGCTCCAAGGGAGCAGAACGGCCCAGGCTGTACGGAACAGGGGCAGGTGCTGCCAGCCAAGGAGTGACCTCTACCTCCGGGATGTCCCTGAGGTGTTTGTCAATGGAGCACCATCCTGCACATGGCTGTCACAGCAGAGCCACTAGCTCTGGGGCTCTGAAGACCAGAGAAATGAGGAGTGAGGGGTAGGTCGGTGTAAGGAGGCAAGTTCTGCTACCTTCCTGGGGAGGAGGAACATGAAGGAGAAGGGAGGGCAGAGAAAAAGCCTCCGGGTAATGACCCTGCACAGGAGTTAGGACAGCGGGGTTTGCTTGGCTTGTGCCTCTTTTGTTTTGTTTTATTGAGATTTGTTTATTCTTTCTTGCCTGCATGCGTGCTTAACCTGAATGTGTGCACGTGTGTGTCTGGTGCCCACAGGGGCCACAAGAGTGTGTCAGATCCCCTGAGACTGGAGTTACAGAGAAGTGGGAGCTGCCATGTGGGTGCTGGTAACCAAACCCGAGTCCTTGAGAAGAGCAGTGAGTGCCCCTAACCACTGAGTCATCTCTCCAGCTCCCATGCTTATGGTTTTCCTTTTTAAAAAAATGTTTAGAAAGTGTATATGTGTTTTGCTCACACATGTGTGCATGCAGGTTTGTATGTACTCCTGTGCGTTTGTGTACCTGAGCACTTGTGGCGCAGAGAGGTCAGAAGACAACTTGTGGGAGTCAGTTCTCTCCTTCCACCCTGTGGGCCCTAGTAATTGAAGTCATCTTATCAGGCTCAGCAGGTCCCTCTCCCCACTGAGCCATCTTGTGGGCCCTCGTGCCTGATTTTTGTTTGTTTGCTTGTTTATTTTAAAAATCTCAGTCACAGCTTAAAAGCAGGAGGATTTACATCCAAATGTAGTTTGCAAACCTGTCTTGAAGAATGCCCAGTCTGGGCCTATGGGCCACCGTCCTCACTAGGCTGCTTCTCGGGTCCTGCCCACCATTCAGAGTAAGAAAGTATTTTCTGTCCCCAGCCAGAGCTGGTGCCACAGACTCATGTGTGCTCAGAAACCCACAATGCTGTTGCCACATGTGTCACACTCAGCGCTATCCCCATCCGTTGGTTTTCCTGTTGCGGTGCTAGAGCTTGAACCCCGAGCCTCACACATGCCAACCACACCTTCTACCACCAAGCTATATCCTCAGCCCCGCACCCCCTGTCTTTTTTTAACTCTTTGGGACAGGGCACCATTAACCCTCAATCCTCCTGCCTCAGTGTCCCGAGCAGCCAGGATTGCAGACCTGCTCGACCCAGCTCTGCTTCCATACCATGGTTAATATGCTGTTACCATGGCTGCTGCTCGCCACACGGAACCGTTCCAGAGTGCTCACAGAAAGAAATCCTGTCCCAAGGATGCAGTCACCCGGACCCTCACTGTAGCCCTTAAGTACATCCCCTCTGTTTTCAGGGCCTCAATTTCCCACATTCTCTTCCTTAGCCAAAGCCTAACAGAGCTGAAATTCACACATGCTCAAACGGGCCTCCCTCAGCCCTGCCCATGTCCACTCCAGACCTGCCGTCATCACACCCAACGTGACCCGCCAAGCATCTGAGGAGGCATCAGGAGGGAGCAAGTGTGGGCAGGAGGAGAGGCAGGAACTGTAACAGAAAAGGCCAGCCAGCTGACCTGTGGCTCTCACTCCAAGCTCTTACGCTCACACTTGGGCTCTCACCCGAGTTACGCTGGGGACCCCGTGACACTCCATCACTGGTGTCAAACTTCAATGCTTTGTGAAGGAAAGGAGACAAAACTTTTTCTGCTATTTGATCATTTTTAATAATGTATATGTACTATTCTTACAATTAAAAAAACAAAACAGCAAAAAGAAAAAGAAAAAAAAACTTTTAAAGTGATTTTCTTTCTTTTTTTTCCTCTTTGAAACAGGGTCTCTTTGTGTAGCTCCTGTTGCTAGAACTCCCAGTGTAGACCAGGATGGCTGGAACTCAAAGAGATCTGCCTGCCTCTGCCTCCCCAGTGCTGGGATTAAAGACCTGTACTGCATGCACAGCTGATTTTTTTTTTCTTTTTCTTTTTAGTTGAAAAACAACAGTGGAACCAGGAATGGAATGTCAGCTTTAGCCATACTCCGAGGAGTGGAGCTCAGAAGCCCCCTATGGCTGTTTCCAGTCTGCATGTGATCATGCTGCCTCAGGCGACCTGTTGGGGTACTCTCCCTCCCTCCAGGGCAGAGACCCAAGACCGGTCAGGTCAGCACGATTAAGTTAAGTTACAGAGTCACAGCAACAGCCACTCAGGAGTGGCACGGCGGCCCATGGGCCCAGGTGCCACCTGGAGGGACTGTCTCACGCGGCACCTCATGGGGCGAAGGTGGTGAAGAAGATGTACATCTTGGCCAGGAAGGTAGTGACAGAGCCCTGCCGCCACAGCTTCATCTCCACATCCAGGGCAAAGTCCCGTGGCTCCAGGACAGACCGCTGCAGGGACACCACGCCAGTGTAGGAATTGAGTCTGCGTGTGACGAAGTAGCCCTCCTCGTTACCCTTGGTGATGGTCAGGGAGATGGTGTCCCCGGCAAAGGCGGGAGCAGGGCCAATGCGGAAGATATGCGCAGGTACGAGCAGGCCTGTCTGGAAATTGAGCTGATAGTGTGTGATGCGAGCCGGCGAGGTCTGACACTCCGTGATATCCTGGCATGTGGTGCGCTCACACTTCCTGTGAGGGGAGGATGCTTGGTCAGTGGCTGGGGACCCTCACTCCCATCCCGGATAGGGGACAGACCCTGGAAGCTGGCTCAGGAACCAGCGGAACCGGGGGTCAAATGTAAGCTCTACCCAGAGGAGTCCATCGGCCACATGTGTTAGTCACTTTATCCCTCTGGGCCTCCATTCCCACAGCTATGAGATGGGCTCCTATCGGGGTGTGGTTGGCAGTGTCCAGCACAGGGCCCCAGCAGGCCAGTCAGCAGCTTTTTAAGCTATGTTTGTTCCTTCCTTTCTTACTTTTCCCTCTCCCATCATAACCCCCTTCCCAACACAGGCCCGGTGCCATCTGCTGGCAGCCACACCCCACCTGTCTCCTCTTTCAGTGTTGGGTGCTGTCACTTCCAAGTAAAAGTCTAAGTGCTGCAGCTCGCTCACCCAGTAGCCTGCACCAGAAAAGGCTACAGCCCAGGCAGCCCTTGGAGAGACTGGCGGGTGAGGAGGCAGAAGGGATGAGACACTGAGACCTCAGTCTACAACCTGGTGCGTGCCTGGCCAGACCCTGCAAATGCAGGTCAGCAGCCAGATCATGGGGCAGGGACAGGAACAGCTGGATGGTGGGCTCAGGAAGCCCGGACATGGAGGCTGTCCCCTGAAGCTGCACCAGAACACGGAAGGAGGCAATGAGTATCTATGGTAAGAATCTGGTCAAATGCTGGGAGTTTGTTACATAGTAGAGTGTGTGTGTGTGTGTGTGTGTGTGTGTGTGTGTGTGTGTGTGCGTGCGTGCGCGCGCACGTCTCAAGGCTGAATAACTGGTTGTGACTCCTGTGACTCTGAAAAGTTGGTATGTTACATGTCCTAGAGCCAAATTATTTTGGGCTGTCCTCAGCTCCCTTAGTGGCCATTCACTGCCCATCAGTGTGTGTGTCATTAAGTAAATCCTCTGGGAACGCAGAGCCTCCTAGATTCCACTAATCCAAAGGTTAAGAACATTACCAAATAATAGCCAAGAGATGTGCCCACTTTGTGTAACCTGCTTGTGTCCACCAGTGTATTTTAAAAGTATGTTCATTTAATAAACCTGTGTTCCTATACCCTAAAAACACCATAAAACTGTTTCCATGGACATGCCACTTGAGTCCGTCTGAATTCATGCTCCTAGGCCATGGTCATTCATATCTGGCTCTAGATCAAACCTTCTCTCTTTTGAGGCGACAGTCCTCTTTTTGCATGGGCAGTTCTCTGTTTCTCTTCATGGTGCTGTATGGGAAAGGGCATCAGGTGGCCATGGCAGGGGCCACCTGCTACTTAGCCCGTGGCACGGAGGCAGTGAGGGACCCTGGTTCACACCAGGGGCTGAAGGCACTCACGTTTCCGAGACACGGACGTAGTTTGGTGGACACTCAAAGCGCAGGCAGCGGAAACTGCCCTGGATGTTGTGACAGGTCTCAGCCTCAGAGCAGTTGTGGGTGCCCAGTGCACACTCATCCAGATCTGGGAGGGAAGAGGAAGGCTGCTAAGAGAATTCTCAAGGCCTAGAAACCCAGCCTGAGCCACCCCCCACCCCGCACCCACACTGGAGGCCTGGGTCCCGAGCAGCCTTCTGGTCTAAGAGGACAGCTCATTTACAGCCTCATCTGCCCCTCTCACCACCACACACAGCAGCAGGAGGTCCTGACTTGGCCAGCTTGTCAGAATAAGTTCACGACCCCTCTTCGTACCAAGCCCCACCACAAACTAGGATGCAAACTGGTGCTGAGCTAACTCTCAGCAGCCACAGCCACCAACCTGAATGCAGAGCTGCCTACCTGCCCTTAACAGAACCAAAGTACTCTTCTCTCAAGACACACAGGGGCAGTGAAAGCTAGCCACTGAGACCCACAGATTAGCTCACTGCACAGCAAGGCCACCCAGGCTCCAAATCCCAAGGCTCTCCTGAAGGGAAGTCAGGGCCCCTTCCATGCCCACCTTGCCCTGTTGGCTTGCCAGGCCCAGAATTTGGTGGGCAGTGGCACTGACCTGAGAATCATAGCTTAGAGTCCATCTCGGAGGAACTGACAAAATCTCAGGTCTGATCTATCCTGGGACTGTCTCCACTATAGCAAATCTGACAAGCTACTGAAGTTGGGGCTTGTGCCCCCGGTGACAGGAGCCACCTCTCACACTTCCTGACCTGAACAACTGTGTCAGGGGACTATCGACCTGCACCAGACTAATGTCGGCCTTCCTGGGACTCCTTCCTACACTCTGGGCTCTGGAACACACACTTCCTGTCCCAGCCTGCCCCTAGACGGTTTGGCAGAGATTGAGGACAGCAGCTCAGATCTCTGAGCCTCTGCTTCCAGTGTGCACATAGACATTCCCCTGACTCCTCACACCAGGGTAGGGTGCAGATTCAAAGCCAAGCCTGGAAGATTTTATGCTAGTCTGAATGCAGGAAGCTCATCCATCACTTTCCTCATCCCAGGCCTGGACACCGCCCTGTTCTGAGCACATGGGTTTAGTGCTAAGCTCCAAGCAGAAGCAATTCACAGTGTCTGGTGCTAGAACAGAGTTGCCCAAAGCCTGGTAGAATGGAAGCTCTCACTCACCCTTGCACGACCTCCCATTGGCCATCATAGTGTAGCCCTGCTCTGGGCATGCGCACTGGTAGCTCCCGGGCACGTTGACACAGCGGAAGGTGCAGAGAATGCTGGCGCCCTGTGCACACTCATCAATGTCTGCCAGAAAGGGTCAGCTGGTTAGCCTCAGCCATAAGCACAGCTGGAAGCCCAGGGGCCATTTACAAGGGGCAAGAAGAAGGCTCCAGTGGTGTGAGGGAACTGCTCAAAGCCATATAGCAGATGGGGACCAGAACTGGAGTCTGCCTCGCAGGACTGCACGCTACTAATAATGATGGTACCAGCCCAGGGCTATTCAGATGACAGCCCGACTTGAGCAATGTACTCCTGTTGACACTAGGATTATGTCACTTTACAGAGGAGGGACCTGAGGTCAGAGTGGAGAGACTCAAAGTCCCACAGCAGGAAAACTGTGGGCTGGGATATGATCTCAGACCCAACACCAAATCCCCTGACCTCCTGGCACATGGGGAGGGGGTCCCTTCTTTATGAGAGTCCTGGGAGGGGACAAGTGCCTACCTGTGCAGGTATGCCCATCCTCTGCCAGCTGGTAGCCCTGGCGGCAATAGCACTGATAAGATCCATAGATGTTGGCGCACTCCTGGCTGCAGCGCCGGGTCTCACACTCATTCACATCTGTGAGGACACAGTCTCCATCATGGTGGATCCTCCCAGCCCATATACTTACTGCATTGGGCTGGCTCACCAGAATCCTTGTTTGGAAGTTCATGCCTTTCAGCCACCCTTTGAGAAGGGTGGGGCCAAACAGGGCACTCATCAAGGGCAGGTTCTCTGGCCCCAGGACAAACTGAGGTGAAGCCTGGTGCTACCCTGCTGGGGACACATCACTGCTGGGACAGATAACTCTTGAGTCACCCAGGTGAAACAAAGCCACCCAGAGCTGACACTGCGTGGAGGTGGGGGAGGGTGCAGGAGCTGGTGTGGAGTGAAGAAGGAGAGAGGGTTAGTTCATGGCTTCCCTGGAGCATCTGCCCACTGAGCTGCTTCAGATTAGACTGTGCCAGGCCTTGGGGAAACAACCATGAACAAGGAAGACAAGGTCTTCACCTGGAAGAGCTAGCTCACACGTGAAAAGAAAGGAGGAGAGAGAGTGATGAACAAGACAGTCAGCAAGCCATGTCTGACTGTGTCTAATTGTTGAACCTTATGTCATTCACAAAAGACAAGTCATGTGTCAATATGTGGCTTGTCTGCTCTGCTGGGCTGAGCTTCTGGATGGCAGACTCCAAGCTCGATTTACCTCCAAGTCTCCAACACTCCGCCAGCGGGAACACAGAGGTGAACTTAGGAACTGTGCCTAGGCAGACTGCTGGGGAGATAGAGGCCCTGTCCACTCCAAGATGCTCACACCCAACCTGGTATAAGGCATGCCCACAGTATGATGATACCAGTGGGTTAGGGTGACTGTGCCAGTGCCCTGCCACAGCTAAACCCCCTCACACACACAGCAGCGCCAAAGGACTGGGAGTCCCACAGAGGTCTCAGAAGATTTGTCCCGTGTAGAAGAGAATGACACAGTGCTAAGAAAATGGGGCCACAGATGCCATGGTCTCTCAGTTGAGGCTCAGCTTCTCACTGAGCTGCCTCCTGGCTTCCCTCCCTGGTGTTCCTGAGCTAGCTGCTCAGGGGAGCATCTCTGGGAACAGTGTGGTATTAACTAGCTATAGACCTGTGACACTTGAGAAAACTTGAACCACAGCCTGTGCCCACACTTGGTTTATCTCAGTGTGTACTTCAAGGTTTACACCATCAGCTCATTTTACATACATATCGAAATTTCTATGAAAAAGCCAGAAAAATTACAGTGCCCTGAACCTTCCTGCTTGATGGCATCATTCAAAGGAACCATGTGATCCTTGCTCCCTCACAGCTCCTGAGCTCTCATGGTTGCCCTGTGCCATATTGGAAACAAACTCCCTGTGATCACAGTAGGAACCAGAGGCTGTCTGTCCAAGTGGAAGCCAGGTGCATGGGGTGAGAGGACAGGGGTCAGAAGTCAGGGCAGTCAGTACCTTCACAATGCTTGCCATCTGCTGCCAAAAGGAAGCCAGCAGCACAGGAGCAGCGGTAGGAGCCCGGTGTGTTCTCACACGTGTGCTGGCACAGGCGGCCCGGCGAGACCCAGCATTCGTTCACATCTGCCAGGGAGAGTAAACAGCAGGCACAGAGTAGGCAGCCAGCCGGGAAGTGGCCCAGAAGCAGAGACACCCAGAGTAAAGTGTGCAGAAGCACAGGAGAACAAGATGGTAAGAGAGCCAGAACATGAGCCAAGAGGAGAGGAGGAGCTTGAAGGCAGCCATCTGGGAAGGTCCGGGCCAAAGAGCTGAAGGGACACAGAGGAACAGGCTCTTTGTTCCCAGGGGATCCCAGACCCCAGTATTTCATACCAATGCAGGTCCTGCCGAATGCATCCCTCTGGAAGCCAGGCTTGCAGTCACAACGGTAGGATCCGGGGAGGTTGTGGCACAGTTGGCCCTCGCCACAGCGGTGCACACCTGTCTCACACTCATTCACATCTGTAGGGCAGGCAAGCAGGACACCCTGAGGTCTGGAAGGCCCCTCTACAGGGTCTCGTGGGCAGAGAGTTAGGTGAGGAGGCTGGGTGGATGCAGAGAGGCTCCAGCCTTACCCACACATTCAGAGCCATCCTCGTTGGCATGGTAACCACGCCTGCAGACCAGTGGGTTCCTCTGACACGTGTAGGAGCCCACCGTGTTGATGCAGCTGAATCCTGAGCGGCAAGGCTCCAGCAATGATGTACATTCGTTGATGTCTGCAGAAGGGAAGAGATGACAGGAAGCCTGGCTTGTCCCTCCTATACTTATCTAACCAGCTCTGGGCTTTAGGTCTAAACTATGCCAGTCCCTGAAGCCTTGCACCTGAGAGTTCCATCCCTAGAAGCCACAGCCACTGGGCTGACTACAGTCTGTACCCATCTGTCCAATGGAACAACTAAAGCAAGGAGAAGGCTTGTTATTTATCAAAGTATAAATGAATTACTGGTGTTTTTATGAACATGGCTGCCTGCTTGGTCTCCTCCCCACTACACAGTTCAGCAAACACTATGGCTGCTGCCACCTTGAACCCTGGAATACAGTAGACACTCAGGAAATGCTGTTCCTGATATAGAGCTGAGGAGCTCTGTGGATATGTAAGATTTGCCGCGCCCCCCCCCCCCGCACTCTTCCGCCCTGCCAACTCTGGCCTGGAGGGGTGGTCCTAAGGCCCACAGGGCACCACAGATTCCATGTGCCCTGTGGGGCCTAGTGGTGGGATCCACTAAAGACAGCCCTTGAGCAGAGAGGGCATCTGCAATCAGGCTGGCTGCTGTTACCCCAGAATTCTGGTCAAGCTTCCACAGGCAGATCATGCTCTGCCATTTGGCCTCCTTGTGATAAGCTACTGTTGTCACGCAAACTGCCTGTCACCTGGCCAGTCTTTCCTCCTGCACATAGCCAGCCCTTTGCCTCTCTGTATCATTATCACCTCTGTCACCTGTGTTCTAGCAGAAAGCAGGTCATTAGCTCTGGGGACATGGCCCAGCCTGGCTGTTTGGAAGGAGTGAGTGGCATTTCAGACCTTCTCAGGACGAGACCACATCTGTCACACTGCACGTCTCAACCCTTAACACGGTGTGAGGCTGATCTAGAACACCTCAGAGTGGTCTTGGACAGCGAAGGTAACTGGGTTTTCACTTCAGTCAGGAACCCTGTGACATTGCATCACAGACAGTTCTGGGTCACAACCAACTGGGTCAAAACACACCATCTACATTCTTCCAGTTTGGTTCCACAAGTAGGTAAACTGAGGCCCTGAGAAAACAGCTTCAAGGTGAGTGGAGCAGCTACCATTCTGCACATGCCCCACCCATGCTCCACTCAATGAGTAGACATTGAGGCTGGGAGAAGGGAGCAACCAGCTAGACCCACCAGGGCTCTAAAGCCCTCAGGACCCCAAAAACCACAGCCCACAGCCTGCTTACCCACACAGTTGCCCTCAGGGTCCTGCAAGAAGCCATCCATGCAACGCTGCCGGGCCTGGCAGTAGAAGGAGCCCTTGGTGTTCTGGCATGAGAAGCCTGGCTGGCAGTTGTGTGTGCCTGTCACACACTCATCCACGTCTGCCACACAGAAGCTGGGCATCAGGAATGGGAGGCAGGTAGGCTCCGCCCCTCACACCCAGAAGCCCTGCTCCCCGTCCCATCTTCTCACTGCTGTACCCTCAGTAGTCATAAAGGTCTATATCCCAGCAAGATGGCAAAGCTGAGTCACTGGAAAAGCCCATGTCCCAGGAATAAAAAATAATGACATAACACATGCCCTAAGCTTCTCCACGGTCCCTGACACTATTCAAAGCACGTGGGGCGATTTGATTTGCCTCATCCTCACAGCAACACAAAAAAGTAGACTAGCTCATCTTATTGAGGAGAAACTGAGGGACAAGCAAGCTTCCATTGCTACAGAATGTCAGGCAGTCTAACACCCTACCACTCAGTACACCACACTCCTGAGGAGCAAACAGAAACATGTATGAGGGACTCTATCCAAAGGTCAAGAAACATGTGTGTCCCTGCAGCATAGAGGCTCACAGCTGGGGCCCTTGTCACGGTCCTTCCTCCATAGGCCTGTCTGCTTGCTGTTCCCTATGCCCAAAACAACCTTCCAGGTAGGCTCCCATCATCAAGGTCTCAATTATACTCTCACTTTTATAAACCTACACTAAAGACACACCCTTCCACCTCCTACGGTCACTGTTATCTCTATACTCCCCATCTCCTCAACCATGAGGCCACAGAAAAGTCACCTCACACCAGTGCTGCTGGTACCCAGAAACCCATCTGGTGTTAAAAGAAGCTTAAGAAATACTTAAGACATCTGGGGGAAAAGCACAGTCTTCTTAGGAAGCTAGAATTCTCCAGTGAAAGAAACATAAACAGTAATCCGTGGGGCTCCAAGTCAGTGTGCAAACAGGGGAAACGGAGGTACAGTGAGGGGAACAATTAGCATAGAGACCAGCAGGTAGTAGGAAGGCTAAGGGCAGATGCTAGCCTTGTCCCAGCTCTCACCCTTGGCCTCAAAGTAATGTCACCCATTACTGACAAATCTCTTCACGAGATTTTGACGATCTTGACTCAGGTCAATCCCTCCCAAAAGGAACATACACATGAAGGTATCACTCAAGATAGTCACTAACAAACACCCCCATCCCAAAGAAAGTCAAGAGCAGGAATGTGGGGGAAGAGACAGGGCAGGGGTAGGGACATCCCTGGGGCACAGTCAGCCTGGGATGCAGAAGTAGGGCTGGGCCTCAGCACCTTCTCACCTGTGCACTGGCCATCTGTGAGGGTGTAGCCTGGATCACAGGTCAGCGCCTTGTAGCACTGGAAGGAGCCTGGCGTGTTCACACAGTGCTCGGCCCGGGTGCACGTGTGCAGGTCCGTCACACACTCGTTGATGTCTGTGTGGAGATTGAGGTAGGTGTCAGGGCCTGCAGGGGCTCCAGGCACATAGGCCTAGCACAACCAGGCACCAGGAGACAGGAAGCACCAGGCTCAGACCTCAGGTACTCACCATGCAGGGAGAAGCACGCAGCTGATGTCCCTTATCCAAGCATCCCTTCATTCAACAAAGATTTATCACAACCCTCTATAGGCCAAGCAGGGCTCTTGGCAAGAGGGGCAGGTGAACGAACAAGACAGAAACACCTGCTCTTAGAGCAGATACTTGGAGATGCTCATGTATGAAATGAGGTTGCTCAAGAGGGCTATGGGAACCACAGCAGGAAGGAGGTGGGCTGAGGTGTAGACGGGCAAGTGAGTTTAAGGCAGGGACGAGAAGCACTGTCAGAAGACGACATCTGAGTAAGAATGTGAGGAGGTGACAGCAGGAGCCACTCTGACAGTCCAGGCAGAAGGAACAGTTATATGACAGCCCAGGTGGGTTCGGGACCAGCCCAGAAGCAGCTGTGGCTGTAGGGGAGAGAAGAAAATGTGAACAGATGAGGTTACATCGAGGATGGAAGCCATAGTGGGTTCCTGGTATAGACTTGAGGGAACCCTGGCTAAAGCTGAAGAACAGATAAAGAGAAGATGTCATTATTCATAGAGAGAATTATTCATAGTGGCTGGTACCACTGGCCACGAGACAGGGCAGAAGTGACACAATCATTGATGGCAAAGGCAGGGGTGAGAACTAGGAAATCAGTAAAGCTTTGAGCTACGCAGCCAGATAGGTGCCAGCATCTCAGATGGGGCGGCCAGCAGGAGCAGGTGTGCAGAGGAAGGTCCCAGAGTTCTTAGGGCCTACAAGGCAGCCAGAGACCTACCTCTGGGCTCACTGAGGAAGCTGAAGAGAGTGGTCAAGTGGCTGAGGTAGGCCACTTGAGGGAATAGGTACATGAAGAAGAGGCCAGGGACAGATATTGTGATACTCTAGGGATGAGCAGCTGGAAGAAGGGAGCAGAGAATTGAGGCAGAAGGAAGCAAAAGTTACAATCCATCATTATCTCCAGCCAAAGCTAACTAAGGACCCTTGAGGCTCCACTCAGCCCTGCCTCTCCTGCCCATACCTGGCAGGTAATGGCACTAGGCACAGCCTACTCGCTCAATGCCACACTGGCCAGTACTTGTTCTGTGCCATGTTCCTGTGGCCATATGGTAGGTCACCCCTGACCTTAATGAGTGGCCAGCTGAGCATCGGGATCAAGGAAGGCAGGTGGAAACACATACAAAAAGGCCTCTGGGGCTCAGATCAGAAATCTGTCTGCCTTGCTCCTGCAATGCCAGCTGCTTCTTGGAGGTAGTAACATTTGAGTTGAATCTATGAGAATAACTAGGGGACTAGGTATGAAAGCGGGCGTAGGGGAAGAGACCCTTTCATGCCAAGATGGCGCAGACAGAAATGTGGATAGGGAAGTGACAGTTCTGAGCCAAGTTTGCCATGGCGGTATGATTGGGCACCACAAAGGCTTCTGATTTACAGCTGGATTGGCACAAGAAGGCAGGCACCCAGGATCCCAGCAGTTTCCCCACAGTGTTGGGAGGCCTCACAGTGTTGGATGACAACAGCTACCACTCATGGGGGATCATAGGGGTCAGACTCATTGTCTTGTGATACGGGAATGGCCTTTTCACAGATAGAGAAATCTCTCTCCCCAAGGGGATGTCACTGGACTGAGTTACATAGCCAGCAAGGATGGAAGCCAGGGTGCTCGCTCCAAGCTATACCCTTTTCTCACTGCAGAGAGGCCCCAGAGCTGAGGCTGCACCATCACAGCTCCCTGCAGTCTAGCCTAGCTGGGGAATAGGGCTGCCCTGACAGAGGCCCCACCAAGTGCTGTCCCCATGCCTCAGTGGCGCAGGGAACCCTGCCAGAGTTCTTCATGGGGAACCTGACCTCCACAGTGACCTTCAGAGGTGGGTGCTCAGGCGCCACCATCTATCTCTTTCATGGGAGGGGAAACTAAGGCTCAGAGTGGCCAGCAAACTTTAGTGAAGCCACACTTTATCCCAGCCTGATCCTGCCCCTCCCCTGCCTGAGTGGAGCAACTAGGGAGCCCCTAAACCACCAAGTGATATCTGCATGGAATAGGAGGAGAGTGGGCCAAGAGTTTGTGCAGAATAAAGAGGAAAGAAATACAGAGTGTGCTCATAAATCTTGCTGAATGGAATGTATCTTGGCTTTCTTATCCTCAGGCCCATCTTTCAGCTGCTAAGGACCCTGCAGCTGGGCCAGGGAGGACATCCTGAGAAGGGGCTCACACACCTCCCAACAGGCACACACAGACCCAGCCCACCCAAGAGGAGCTGCTACCACTGGCAAGCACGTCAGGAGGGCCATGTTGTGCCATGGCTGCAGCCAAGGCAAACATGTTGGCCAGCAGTGCTGCCCAGCAGCGCAGGGGAGGAAGAGGACATGTCCATGCTGGACATGGTCCCCAAGCACAGGCAAGACAGACAGGACTCTAGTTGCAAGGCCTGAGCACTCTCATGCCCTGTCCCCATCCACACACCTTTGTCTCAGCTGTCTCCTTCCTGATTTGTGCCTTTCCCATTCTCCAATTCCTGCCCATTCTTGGAAACAGGTGTAGATAGTCCTTCTCCCCTGAGTATCACTGGCAGGAGTGACATGTCCCTTTGCCTGGTCCTTTCAGGAGCATTAGCCAATCTGCCTGACTTCCCCCCTACTCAGGGTTATCTCTGAGATGCAGGAAGCCAGGGTTTTTGTTTCCTCAGTGAGAATACCAGATGACCCAGACACAAGACAGCATGGAGTCCTTCCTTGTCCACAGAACTCTAGAGTCCCAGCCCCGGCCTACACAGACGTAAGTAAACAAGAGACCCAGCTATATGCAGGCTGACACAGGCCATACCCTCCCTGTCCATTGGTGGGGGCGGGGGAGGCAGCATGACTCAGAGGGGAAAGTGCCTTTTGCTCACGGTCACACAGCATATGAATGCTAAATGGGGTCAGCTGCTACTTGCCTCTCAGGAGATTCCAGATAAATCTATAGGCAATCTAAGTGGCTGAGGTAACAGGCTGCATGACTCAGACTATAGGCCAGTGCACATGGGCCACAATCCTCATAGATGTCAACAGCTTCAAACAGCTGAACAAAGACAAGGTCCAGAGGCACTGGAGGTCCTGCTTCCAGCCCAGACCTCCACACCTCTACACGGCCCTGCTGCCCACCTTTGGCCTCCCTGTCTCTGACCCACCAGGGAGATATCCCATCAGCTTTCTGAGTCACAGTCATATCTGGGGATGCAGCATTGAGAACAAGCGGGACAAGACACTGGGACACGAGGGTATGACACAGAGCGCAGCAGGCTGCTGTGTGGGAGCTCACATGCAAAGGGCAGGCCCTTTAGCATGTGGCGCTATGTGGTGGGTTGGCGTGGAGCAGAGCAGGCAGCCGTGACGCGGGCGGCAGGCAGGGCTCCAGCTTACCCACACACTTCCTATGTGCGTTGAGGATATAGCCCTCTGCACACAGCACTGTATGGTTGACACAGTAGAAGGATCCCAGGGTGTTCACACAGAACTGTTGCCAGCTACAATCGTGAGTGCCCATCAAGCACTCGTCTTGGTCTAACGACAGCCACGGAAGGAAAAACAGAAGGCTGTTAGAGAGGGATGGCTGCCAGGGGCATCTGGGGATGGAGGGAAAAAAAGACCCTATGGGTGCCTGTCAGTGGGATGGCTGAACCTCGGACCCAAGTTGAGTTTGAAAAATTCAAAAGATGTTAGTGCTGCCCCTGCTGCCCAGACAGAGTGAGACTCGGAGAGGGCAAGCAGCCAGCCCACGACCACCGCAGGCAGCAATCCTCAACCTGTGCTCTGTAATGATCAAGTCTGCAACAACCCAGAAAAGCAACAGAATGGTCTGCAAGTTTAGGGGCTTTGGGGTCCAGGCTGGCAGCATTCGCAGGAGGGGATGGGGAGGCGGCCTCCAGTGGATGCCAGGCTAAGGATATGCAAAAGGACCTCCATGAGCAGGTTTATGAAGTACCATCAGAAAAAAAAAAAAAAACAAAAAAAACCTCAAATCTGGAAATGTTTTAAAATCCTCAGGTTGTCCCAGCTGGGAATTCCTATGACAGGCCTCCTATATGGTAGCTGCTCACACCCTCACAGATGCTCCTTTGCACCCTCTGGCTTGTACCCCCTCAGTTCTTCCTGCTGGAGTGCTCCTGGGGAGAAGGCGCATGTGGGAGAAAGTGGACACCAGTCAAGCCAGCAGAGGCAGTCTACGGAGCCCCGGCCCTAGATCCCTAGATTTGAAGACTTCTGAACCAAGATACTGTTCTCAGTCCCCAGAGCCCCGGGGAGAATCAGAGCCCAAAGCATACATTACCCCTTGGGCCAGTTGTCTCCGCCATCAGAGAGAAAGGCCAGTCAGCTGCCACCATGCTGTGTGCTCTGGACTCACAGGAGGGGGTCACTCACATACAGAATGACTGGACATGGAATCTGAGCTTCAGAGAAGAATGTGGGCATCCGCTTGGCCAGACTTGATCATTCAGACCATGTCTTCTGAGCCTGACATAGCCTGTACTTGTAGCTCTCTATCCTGCCTCTATACAGAGAGAGGGGGTGAAGTCCTGGGACCCTTCAAGCTGCTTCACTGAGGAAGCCAACCAGAGGTGTCAGAACCACTGTTCTTATTGTACATTGTGTACTGAGAGGTCCTAGGCCACAGCGACCCCACCAAGACACGACCTCACGTACGATGGTAACTGAGGTGAAGGGGATGGACTCTGTGACTTGTGAATGGCAGAGGAAGCTCACTGTCACCAATGTCAACCTTCCCTCTATGACTGAGGCCCTCTCCCCACTGCAGGCACATGAGGTGAGGGAGGTAAGGCCACTTCTGGATGCTATCCCTGACACAATGACAGTTCGCCGTCTTCTCCCTCTCTCCACCTCAGGCTGGAGAATGGATGAACTCAGAGATCACAAAGCAAGCTCAGCCTTGCAGACCGGGCCAGCCATAGGGGAGCAGTGAGTTGAGTATGGCCCATATCCAGCATGGTCCTGGTTATAACACAAGTTCTCAGCTTACCCAGACCCCCTAATCAGGATGTCTGGGGAGCCTGCAGAATTCCCAGGAATCTGTGTCCAGCGGGCCTCCAAGTGACATGCATACAAGTTCAGTTCTGAGAAGCATTCAGTCCTTGGAAAGCAGCAGAACAGCAGACAGGAGCCTGGACCTTGGCCCTCTGCAGCAGCATGGAGGGCCCATACCAAGGGCTCAGTGACACCAGAGGGAACCACCTACACTGCTCTACTGGGCTTCTCTGTCACAACAGCCAAACCTCATAATCAGGGAGAGCTTGAAGTTGTGGTCTCCCGTCTCCTAAGCCCTCGCCATAGGCTAGCCAGATCTGCAAGGTTTACAGGGTGAGCCCAAGGTACTCACCTTCACAGGACACGCCGTCTGCCATGATGGCATAGCCAGGGAAGCAGGAGCACATGGCTGTGTCCCCAACAACACGGCACACCTGCCGACAGGGCCCATTGTCTGAGAGAAAATTCCTGGAGTCAGAACGCAGGCCTTGGCCCTGGCCACAATGCTCATCCCCGGCTCTGAGATACAAGTTGGGGCCTCCGCTGCAGGCGCACGGAGTGGGAGATGTGAAAAGATGAGAGCCTCATGCCTGTGCCTTTTCACTGGGTCTCCTGTAAGCGGTTCCAGGCCCAGCTGGAACTGGGGACAATATTTTGGCTTCCTCCCACACACCACTCAGATGCCAATCCATCCCTCGAGTGCCAGGGGGACAGTAAAAAACAAAAAGCAAAAGGCAGGAATGAAGCAGAACAGATGACCCACTTGGCTAGGGTCACACAGAGACCCAGAATCCCTGGATGTCACTTCCCCTTCTCAGTCATCCCCAGGCATATCCCGTCCCTTCCACAAAGCAGAGGCACCCAAAAGCCTGGGCCAGCTTGTACACACCCAGCCCCAGAGCCCAGCACACCACACGGCCCAGACCTCTGCAGCGTGGGCCGGGAAGAAGGTACATCCCTCCACTCACCTTTGCAGGTGTTGGGCTGTGGCACAGGCAGTGGGATGGTGTTGGGAGGCAACTGGGCAGACTCGGACCTTGGTGCAGACTGCCGTGCAGTGTCCAGCTGTGGGGCACCTCCATCTGTTATAGGCAGAGCAGACAGCAGGGGGCAGCCTCGCATCTTCTGCCAGGCCTTGGACACACAGCTAACCACATCAGGCACTGACTGGTGACCTCACTGACCACCCTCCTTGCTCAATCACCAGGGAGAAAACTGAGGCTCAGGGTACGGACACATCTTAGGCAAGAGCTATCTCACAGCTACTAAGAAAAGGCAAAAGAGGAAAGAAAAAAGTAGGGGCTATCTAGACTAAAATACAACTCCACCCCATCCAGCTAGCTGGCAGGAAAAAAAAGCCTACTAGGCACACTAGCTAGACCTGGTAAGGGTCTACAGCCTGAGCCCCGCTCCAGGCCTGTCTTCAGAGGGAGCTCCAGGAAGTCTTCATATTTCCCAGAGCTGGGAGCCTCCTCTGCTTCTGCCAGCATCAACACAGAGGCAGCAGGAAGAGAGATAGCCTAGCAAAGCCACCCTCCACTGGCAGGACAAGCCTGTGCCTGGGCTGCCTACAGCTCACCTGGGCGGCAGGTACGACCATCGCCTTGCAGCTCGAAGCCAGGAAAGCAGGCACAGCGGTAGGAGCCCACGGTGTTGATGCAAAGATGCTGGCAAAGCTCCCCAGGGAGCAGCAGGCACTCATCCTGGTCATCTCCTGGCAGGCTATTGGGTAGTTCAGCCTCTGTGCTGAGTGACAGGGCCTCCCGGCTTGCCATCTCCGCCTCTGAAACTGGGGTAGTTGGTCAGCACTGGAACATAGCCAGCTTGGCCACCAGGTGGCTGAACCCACTGGAGCCAGGAAAGCAACAGAGGCTCAACAGAGGTAAAAATGGAGAAGCGATGGAAGGAGGAAGAGAGGGATGGATGGATGGATGGCTAGATGGGTGGGTAGGTAGATGGAGGATGGATGAATGGATGAATGGTAGTGAACCCATAGTAGCTGGGTCTGAGTCTTCATCAGCTAGGGTCCCTTTCAATTGGATTGGGCCATATCCAATGAGGTATGTAAGCTGGTATGTATGTATATTAGTAAGTGCTGAACTGGAGTCATAGAAAGAGTGCTAGCCTAGGTGGAGACAGATGAGGATGTGACTTTAATTGCAGCTTCCGTAGCTGTGTTAGCAGTAGGTCTCTTTGTGTCTCGTTGCCTACTCTGCAGAGGGCAGGAGGTGAGTGGAAGAGAAGGCTGCTTTGCTGGCCTGCCCTGCACTGACCTGATGCCTCAGCCCATGCTGTCAGCCTCTGGCAACAAGAGAACAGAATGGCGGCCTGAAGCTGCATCCAAGGGCATGTCATAGGGAAGGTGTCTGCACTGAGCTCCATGCTGAGGAACCCTGGCCAGTGCCCACAGCCCTGTCCTGAGGTCCTGGAACTGTGAGAGGATAAAGGCAGACCAAGGGTCTCTAGGATCACCAGCATGTACCTCCATGGGCCAGGCCCAGCTCAGTTATAGGCAGGCCTCTTTGATCATCCTCCCAGCAGAAGATAAACAGGGACGATATGCCCAAGGCCACTTCAATCATTTGAAGGAGTACAGTCTGCTTCCACCACCTGCACCTCCTAGACCCAAGTTACTCAGAAGCTCCACACAAGGGGTGGTTAAGTGGATGAATCTTGCCCAGCCGTGTGGTCCACCTGGTCCCCCACTGTCCTGTTCTGACCTCTGATGCTGGGTTTCTTCCTGAGCTCTACCTTGAACCACTCTCTGAGTAATAACTGGTTCTTCAGAAATCACTGTTTTCAACTAGCACCTTGGATGAGCTGGTGGATAGATGGGTGAGTGAATGGATGGGCAAGTCAATGGACAAATGAACAGAAAGGTGGATGAAAATGAATGAGTGGGTGAGTGGGTAGGTGAAAAAAATAGGTGACTGACTGGGGGGGATAAATGAGTGGGGGAGGTGAACGATGGATAGATCAGGGAATGAATGGATGGACAGATAGGCATGTGGATGAATGAAAAAGATGGATGGATGGATGGATGGATGGATGGATGGATGGATGGATGGACGGACGGATACAAGAATGACAAATGACAGACTGGTGGACAGATGTTCAGGTGGAGAAAAAGATAAGCAGATCTGAATGGCACCAGATGGAAAAACAGTGGAAAGGTGTGGAGAAGGTCAGAGCAGCTAGGGTGGTGAGGGGAGGGTAGAAGGGCAATGGTCACCCGTGATTTGGTGAGTGGTACAGAGAACTGTGTGGGACTGCCATACAGCACACACAGGGTTAGAATCCAGTCAGCAGCTACAGAACTCTACAAAGCGGAGTTCAAACCTTAAACCTCACACAACAATGGACCAGGGTCCCCACTGAGGCCTGAGGTCACCCAGCCCAGCCATCCTAGGAGCCCATATATCCTCCTCCAACTGCCTCCACCTGGGAGGGTGGCACCCACCTCTTCGAGGGGCGGCCTCAGGCTCTGGTGGCCGGCGGACCTCAGGCACTATGAGGGGCTCTTCGCCTTCACAGCAGGAGAGCATGACATGGTTGCAGGGATACCCCAGGTTGGGGTTGGATTCGCACGACTGGCCCTCAGCCCGCACTCGGAGTCCCAGGCCACAGCAGTCACAGCATTGCTGAGGGAGACAGAGCATCACCACGGGCCCTCAGAGCTGCCTGATTTCCCACAGTCTGTGTGCCTGTGACTCATTCAGGGTCCGTAGCCTGGGCATAGCCTGGGGAAGGCTCTGGGGAGAATTAGCATTGTCTAGGTCCTCTGTCTGCCTGTGTCCTCTCCCAGAGGGGAGGGTGCCCCACCCCTACATCCCAAGTTGGGGAAGGGCAGACTAATGTTAATTTTCTTTAATGAATGAATAAATGCCCCTTCGGAAAGAACTACAAATGAAGCCCAGGCCTGCTCACCATGCCCCACCCTTAGAAGCAGACACTAATCCTGTCAGCTCAGCAAAAAGACAGCATTTTTCAAGGGCCCTTGCAGTGCAGGTGACTTCATAAAGTGTGCAGAACAGGGTCTGTTTGGTAGTGCACCCATCTCTCTCTCCCTGGTCCTCCTCCATAGAGTGTATATGTATTGGAGCTCCTGGCATCACATCAGGTTATGAAGGAATCTGAAGCTAACATTTCACACTGACAATTCAACAAAGACAGAAGTTGGGTCCCTAAGGATATGCTGACCCACCCGGCCAAATGCTATGGGGAAATTTGATCTGTATTGTCAGACTGTGGCAGTGGACTGGATGCAGCAACAGCTCCAGCTGACCAGTATCCATAGTCTGAGGCTGGACAGCTCAGCGACTCAGACAGTGAGCATGTGCCTCTGGCTTGAGGTGCCAATCACTTGCTTTGGTCACTAGGGTGAGACCGAAGTAATCATGTGCCCATTTGCACCTTGGCTTCTAAAGGTCTTGCATGCCACTATAGTTTGAGTTTGGCATATGCCTGCCCCACGGCCCAGGATGGGTCTAGTGACAGGTCTTAGGTCACTGAAGACATACACTTGAAGTGGACTTGGGGACACTGGTCTCTTCTTTCTTATGTGAGTAATTGGCTCAGCCATGAACACCATACCGTGCCACCTCACCACAGACCCAAAGGCAGCAGGGCCAAGTGAGCAAACTAAACCAAAACCTCTCACTCTCAAAAAGAGGTTGTCTTGGGTATGCCGTCTCAGTGAGGAAAGGAGGGCAACATATACGCTTCAGTTTCTTTCTGAGAGCCCTATCTGAACCCAACCAGAGAGAATACAGGGAAGAGAGACAGTTCAGCCAGGCCACCTACATCATGTGGCTCCAGAGAAGCCACCAGCCAATGACAGACACAGAGGCACAGCTGAACATTTCCTGACGCCAAGCCAGCCACAGACACAGCTACAGTGAGTGACGCCCTATTCCTTCATCTAATGCTGCAATACCCACTGCTGAAGACCACATGAACACAAGCTCCAGGTGCTGGCACTGGGCCTTGCCTGCCCCAGGATGTGGATTCCTTGCCCATGTTCTACGCATGGGGAAACTGAGGCTGGGATAAGGGAGCTGCCATTGAGGTGAAGATAACCATAGAAGCAGAACTTTACACCCGCCTGCAGCAAGGTGCTTTCCTAATACCAGGCCTTCTCCCCTTCCTCCTGCTATGTCCTGATGCAGCTTGGGTTTGCTAGCCTCCAGCCTCCGGTGTCCAGCCTCTAGCATAAAGTGAAGAAAGCCAGCATCCTACGACTTTCCATTGCTTGTAGCCACACTGATCCTAGCACCACTGTGCGCTCCAACACAGCCTCCGCCCACAGACCTCCTCAGCCACTATCTCCAGGCATACCACACTCTGCCACACACAACCAGACCTGCCTCAGAGAGAGCAAGATGTCACCTGGGTTATTGGTGGGGTTCAATGCACATTTTGTGGACTTTGTTGACGAACTCCATTGACTGTTAGCATCTCCTGGCCAGGCGGTGAGTCTGCCCCCACCTCCTCCAAGATGTGGTATCATGCATCTCAGCCAAGATTGTGGCAGGTGTGACTTGCCTTGTACAGGGAGACGCCGCAGGTATCATTGTCCTCTGCTCCACAGGTCTCGCCCTCTTTGGCCCCCATGACACCAGCCATACAGCTCTTTTCCTTCAAATACGAGACACAGCAGTGCTTCTGGGCTATCCTGAAACAGGGGAATGCCTCAGTACCTGTCTTTCCTGGGTCCCTCCCCAAGAGGGTGACAGTCCCCACCTCACAGGAGGGAGATAGAATGTAGGGTAGAGAAGGGAAGCCCCTACCTGAGGTCTACAGCAAGAGGGGTCAGTGCTGGCAGCAGGGCAGACACAACCCCTGCCAGGTCTCATGGGTTGGATTTGGGTCTGGGACCCTCTGGCCTCAGAGCTGTGTCCTTGACCTCTGGGGGAAGGTGTTGGCATTTAGAGCTCTACTACCACTCCTCAGAAAATTAGAGACCCAACCTCAGAAAGGGTAGATCTGCTAGGGAGATTGGTGACTGGGTCCCTAGTCACTACTTGCTCCTCCCCACATGTGTAACCTGTTGTAGAGGAGGCTAATGAATCAGCAAAGCATGGGTCATGAGAGGCAGGACTCGGCATTACATGGGAGGGACACATGCAGGGGACAGCCGTCCGGTGATGGAGTTGAGGTCCACGTAGTGGTGAGCTCCATCTCAAGAGGGATGTCAGTATTCATTATGGCTGCAAAGCTCTAAACTCACGGGGTCTGAATAGTGTGCATGCTCTAACCATTCAGTAATCCCAAAAGGGGGAGAGAATAGGGATGAGGTTAGAATTGAAATTTCTCTAAAGAAGGCAGAGTGGGACCAGGCATGGCGGTGCACACCTTTAATCCCAGCACTTGGAAGGAAAAGACAGGCAGATCTCTGAGTCTGAGGCCAGTCTACATAAAGAGTTTCAGGTCAGCAGGGATATATAATGAGACTCTGTCTCAGAAATGGAAGAGGAGGAGGAGAATGAGGAAAAGGAGGAGAAAAAGAACAAGGAAGAGGAGGAAGAGGAAAGGGAGGAAGAGGAGAAGGAGGAGGAAGAGGAGAGGAGGCAGGTGCAAACCAAGCTAGACATTAGAAAAAACGTGTTCTAATCCTGGCCATATTGCTGGTGAGCTGTGCAGATCTAGAAGAATCATACTCTCTCTGAACTTCACTCTCCTTTTTTTAATTTTTATTTTTATATTAATTACAGTTTATTTACTTTGTATCCCAGCTGTAGACCACTCCCTCATTCCCTCCCAGTCCCTCGTTCCCTCCCTCATCCCTCCCTGCCCCTTTCTAAGTCCACTGATAGGGGAGATTCTCCTCCCTTTCCATCTGACCCTAGCTTATCAGGTCTCACCAGGACTAGCTGCACTGTCCTCCTCTGTGGCCTAGCCAGGCTGCTCCTCCCACAGAGTTCAAAGAGCCAGCCATTGAGTTCATGTCAGAGACAGTCCCTGTTCCCCTTACTAGGAAAACCCACTTGGAGATTGAGCTGCCATGGACTAGTTCCAAGCAGGGGTTCTAGGTTATATCCATGCATGGTCCTTGGTTGGAAAATCAGTCTCAGACAAGCCCCTGTGCTCAGATATATTTGGTCCTTGTGGAGCTCCTGTCCTCTCCAGGTCTTACTAACTCCCTCTTCTTTCATAAGATTCCCTGCACTCTGCCCAAAGTTTGGCCATGCATCTCAGCATCTGCTTTGATACACTGCTAGGTAGAGTCTTTCAGAGGCCCTCTACGGTAGGCTCCTGTCCTGATTCTTGTTTTCTCCTACTTCCAATGTCCATCCCATTTGTCTTTCTAAGTAAGGACTGGTCATCTTACCCAGGGTCCTTCTTCTTGTTTAGCTTCTTTAGGTATACTGATTTTAGTATGTTTATCCTATCTTATAGGTCTAGTATCCACTTATAAGTGAGTATATACCATGTGTGTCTTTCTGCTTCTGGGATACCTCACTCAGGATGATCTTGTCTAGGTTCCACCATTTGCCTGCAAATTTCATGATTTCCTTGTTTTTAATTGCTGAGCAGTATTCCATTGTGTGAATGTACCACAATTTCTGTATCCATTCCTTCATTGAGGGACATCTGGGTTGTTTTCAGGTTCTGGCTATTACGAATAAAGCTGCTACAAACATGGTTGGACAAATGTCCTTGTTGTGTACTTGAGCATTTTTTAGATATACGCCTAGGAGTGGTATAGCTGGATCTTGAGGAAGCACGATTCCTAATTGTCTGAGAAAGTGCCAGATTGATTTCCAAAGTGGTTGTACAAGCTTACATTACCACCAGCAGTGGAGGAGGGTTCCTCTTTCTCCACATCCTCTCCAGCATGTGCTGTCACTTGAGTTTTTTATCTTAGCCATTCTGATGGGTTTAAGGTGAAATCTCAGGGTTGTTTTGATTTGCATCTCTCTGATGGCTAAGGACGCTGAGCATCTCTTTAAGTGTTTCTCTGCCATTCTATATTCCTCTACAGAGAATTCTCTGTTTGGCTCTGTACCCCATATTTTAATTGGATTACTTGATTTGTTGCTGCTTAAATTCTTTAGTTCTTTATATATTCTGGATATTAGTCCTCTGACAGATATAGGGTTGGTGAAGATCCTTTCCCACTCTGTTCCACTCTCCTTTTTTAAAAACAAAAAGTGAGTAGGCTGTGAAAGATGAGAAAGGAAGATATCCAGAGGACCAACCCTGACAGGGGAAGCAGAGTGCAGTGTCCGAGCCACAGCACAGGTGGCCAAGGAGGGCAGAAGGTCAGACTCTGGGGCATTCAAGGTAGCTGAGCTGGGGGGAGAGGTAGCTGCTGAGAGTGGCAAGCCCCAGCAACCCCAAGGTGATAATGATCCTTTGAACTTACTCTAATTTACACCCCAAGACAGTTAGAGATGCATGGGATCAGCTGACTCTCGGGACCAGTCAGTCTCCCCCCATCAGCCTGCCAGAAGGTTAACTGCACCCACTTTTGGTCACCCTCACACATCTGGGGCCCACGGAAGGCAAGAACAGTTGCGCCCACCCCAGTCCACTTACCTGCAGACGTCACTCTCGGCGCCATTCTCGGGGATCTCCTGGCACTCATCATTGTCAATGGCCCACTGCTGGCCGGCAGCACAGCATGTCTCAATCAGGTCCTTGGTGGAGGCTGTGGGTTGCAATGAGGAGGTGTAGCTGAGTTTGGGGGCCACTAGGTGCAGTTCAGCCTGCAGGCAATGGGCAAGGTAACCTCTCACCCCCAATCCCCACACACCCCTGCCGTGCACTTCCAGCCCTTCCCTTGAAAGGAAGATCTGGGAAGGCTTGGTCTACCTGCAGGGTGGGTATAGCAGTGGGTAGCCAATGACTGGCTCTAAGGGGGTGGGTGCGAGCACACACACACACACACACACACACATTGCTCACTCAGAGCTCACAGGGGCTAGACTGCACAGGCAGCAACTGACCCATAATTTGTCTAGCCCCTTCCCCAACACCCAGATGGTTTCTGCCAAGACATATCCCTAAATGAACCATCAAAGATATAAGAAGCCCTGACTTGGGTTCTGTTGATCCAAGTAGCCAAGTAGTGCAGATGGGGCAGAAGACAGAAAAGAACCTCAGGAGGTTTGGGGGGTAAGAGTTATCTTAAGTTGTTTTTTCCCCTGGGATTTAGTTGTAATGATGTTTAATTAATAAAAATTAATACTAATTAACAATTATTACAATACAATGACAAAAACCAAAACTGATTATTCAAATAGTGTTTTTTTTTTCTTAACACGGTAATAGGAAAATTAGTAGAAGAAATGACCGTTTAAAAGAGCAACCCAGAAATAAATCAACAGTAAGCATCCTGACCAACAAAAACAGAATCTTTCTTTCTCGCTCTCTCCTTTCCTTCTCCTCCTCCTTCTTCCTTATTATTCTGCCTATATGTATGTGCACCGCATGAGTACAGAGCCCACGAAGGCCACAAGAGGGCATGAGATCCCTTGAACTGGATTACAGGTGGTGTCAAGCTGCTTTGTGGGTGCTGAGAACTGAACCTGGGTTCTTTGCTGGAGTAGCAAGTGTGTTTAACCACTTTATTTGATGCATACTTTTTACTTTATGCATATTTGAGTAAAGGGTCAATGTACTCAAGATGTGAACTCTGCTGTATGTGAGCTACAGTTTTAATACAACTATAATCAAAGATCCAATCTGTTTATGGGATTTGTCAAGGTGAATCTCAAATTCACTGGTAGAACCGGCCTGTAATCCACTACTCAGAAGGCAGCAGTATCATAGTTCAAGACCAGCAACCTTGTGACACTATTTCAAAATGAAAACTTAAAAACAAAGACGGGCAGAATTATGACTCTCAAACAGGCTGACTCCTTCCTTTTCCCTTTTCAGGGATCAAATCTCCTCAGAGAAGGTCTCCCGGACCTCTCTGTACCCCAACCCCATCACATTACCCCACTCAGCCTCCATTTACAAAAATGACTGTATAAATGTATACAAGCCAGGCATGCCTGTAAACCAAGCACTCTGGAAGTTGAGGCAGGGGGATTACAAATTTGAGCCTGGGCTCCATAAAGAGGGCCTGTCACAAGAAGGAGGAGAAGTAGGATGAGGATGAGGCAGAGGAGAAGGAGGAAGACGAGGAAGAGGAGCATAATGTGTGTGTGTGGCAGGTATGGCTCATTGGCTGAGGACCCAGCCTATAAGACAAAATGAGCCTGTGACAGAGCCCATAATAAGTGGGGCATTTCATATCTAAACCCTAACACTTGATCTTCCTTCTACAAGCTGGAATCTGCCCTCCCTAAGGCTTTTCTGAGAAAGACTCATGGGATTATGAGATTGCAACAGATCCTGGGGTCCTGGCCAGGCGACCTTTGATGGATGCCCTAAGATATAGCAATGACAGCCCCAATGTGCTGAGTGCCAATATCAAGCCAGGCACAGGGCCAAACACTCTGTTATTATTTCCTCTGCCCAGAGGAAGTGGAAGATTAGAAATCCCAGCCTCATGCTGCACTCTTCCCTTTCCCTCTCCAGTCAACATGGGCAACTTGACCCAGCCAGTCCTGAAAGAGCTCGCTGTGAACCGAGCCTCCAAGGTCACAATGAGGACACCCCACAGTTCCCAAGGTGGTTCCAAGGCAGCTCCTGCAGGCCTGCCTCCAGACATCCCAGCCCCCACCATCTCTCTGGGGGTCCCTTGCCCTCTGGCTTCTGGCCTGTGGAATGCACCCCAAGGCCTCTCATCTCCCTCACACTCTGACCTTAGTGATATGCTCCAGATGCTGGGCATCCTGTGTCACCTTGCCCTGGCCCCTCCTACAGTTCTGTGCCTAGACTGGTCACAGGAATTTGCACCCCAACAGCAGCAGACAGGCTTCCCAAGACCTGAAGAAGCCCACCCAGTATGACTTTTCAGCCTCTTCATCTGGCCAGCAAGCCAGTCAGCTTCTGCTTCTGGCTACACCACACACACACACACACACACACACAAACACACACAAACACACACACACACACACACTGCACCATGATATCTCTGCCAAGTGACACACTTATCCCAACATCATCCTTGAAGGGTTCTGTGTCTAAGAAGGGCCTGAGTCACCTCAGGCCCTCAGTGGGCAACACAGGTCCCAGAACATTACAAGTTCTGCTTCCAGGTGAAGCATTCAGGCTCTCAGCGTCCGTCACCATTTGAAGTTCATACCAACCCATGATGCCTGTATGTGTAGTAAAGGGACCACTCTTGTCCCTCAGCCCACATGGTATGGTGCGTTAGGCCTTTCCGAATGAGCTAACCCATCTCAGCAACAGAACCAATGCCTGGGTGGAGAGCTGGGCCACTGCCCATTTTATGATGCCCACCTGCCCTTCTGCCTCCTGTGGGTCAGCCGGGCCTCCCTATTCCCAAGGATGACTGAGGTTGCTCATCTCCTTCTGGACAGTGACATGGCCCAGAACTGCCCTGGATCTGGACCACTCTGCCGTGGTCTTCAGAGTTCTGCCAGACAGACAGTATGATAGGTCCTTGACACCCCCACCCCGGCCAAACCTCATACTCCTCAGTGGCAGAGAGAGAGAAATAGTATGGAAAACCTACCCTGACACCTGCTGAAAGGGAAGATGTGCAAACTCATTTTGCAGAGATTTTGTTATCAGGAAAAACAGAAATACGCCCCAGGGTCCCCAGCCCACTAAATGGCCCTGTGCTGTAACACAGTCCCTATGTTATAATGAGTCACCAATGACAGCCACAACCACCATGTGACACACTTATATCCTACAGGCATGACATGGGGAAAGACACTGTCCACAGGAAGAGACAAAAACAGGAATGGATAAGGCAACAAGAATAGAAAATCCCATAATGAAGATTGACGCCTAAAACTTAGAAATAGCAGAGCCGCAAGCCAGACACAAAGGCTACAGACAGCATGTGTTTCCACTCAGATTCAGAGACGGAAAGTAGTGCGGCGGGCATCAGGCACTGAGTGTCCCATAAGGGCAGTTTCAGCATTTGAAGTTGAGAGATCTCACTCCAGTGAGACTGCAAGTAATGCTGCTGAGCTGCACACTCAAGACTTTGTAAATGTCACAATATTTTTGAAAACTGCATTGCAATAAATATAAGGAACTGTGGGCTGGCATTTCCCCCTTCCAGGAATCTGACATACTGACAGACACCCCGGTGAACCCAGACAGGAGGCTCCCAGACACCCAACGCGTTTGTGACAGCAAAGATTCCAGAGATACCTAACGATCAGAGATGAAATAGTTAGGCTGCTCCCGGCCCATTACACACAGGTGTTAAGAGACCAGAGGCGGATGTCTGCATGAAATGAAATCGTTCCTGAAGGTACTTCAGGCCGAGTTCAGGAGCTACATAAACTGACATTTACTTTAAAAGGATTACATGGATATGCACCAGGCATCTGGTAGAGTGGAGACCCCAGACGCAGCAACAGATGGTGTCTTGGGGGGAGCCCTGCCTCCTGTATGTTGAGGCAGATATTAGCCATTCCAGAGCCCTTCCCTTGTAAATAGATTCAGAGATCCGGAAACCATAACCTCCTTTGATCACAGAACAATGGATGGCCCAAACAATCCAGTCCAGACATCAACCCCTAGACAGTTAGTCCCCTTTCCCTAAAGAATCCCGGCTTTGAAAATGCTGCAAAACATTTCCCTGCTGACAGGAGGGTAATAGCAGGAGTCTCCGCCAGGGCCCCGATGAACAAGATGTTTGCTTTGTGGGCCTTAGCGTACAGCCCAGAGCCCCACAGCACACAGCACTGTGAGCCCCCCCAGCCTTGACAAACATGGTGGCATTTTCTGCAGAACCCAGGGTGAGCCTTTCTGGGCCACCCAGGAGCCTTGATCATCTTTCTGAGGCCTGTGAAGTAGACAAGCCAGCCAGGGTTCTGGTCTCCTCTCTGTTTTCTATCCCACATTCACAGGAGGGGGCAGAGGAGTGATAGGGAGCCCAGAAAAAGCCTCTGGGATGGGGGTTTGACCTGGGCTCACCCAGTCTTGCTTCTCCATGTCTAGATTTCCATCTCCTCGTTCTTCCCAGCCCTGTTAGCACACACACGCCATGTACCCCCTGCCTTCCATCAGACTCATCCAAGCCTGACTGGTCCACCTGTGTGCTGACCTGCAGCTGCACTTGTGGTCCCTTGCCTGGGCTCTCAGCGCAGAGTCCTCACACTCCACTACTGTTACAGATGACCAGAGAGAGGCCTGACCTATAGTATACCACACACACTCCTAGGCAAGGGAGACCTAAAGGACAAGCTACAAGGAAAACTACTTGGTGCCACCATCCTCCAGAACATGACCTAGAACCAAGAAGAGACAATGCTCTACACTGGGGCCAAGGATGAAAGATGGCTGTAACTGGGATGAGCCCCAAGACGAGGGTGGCAGGAACCCACCTGCTATGCACATCCGTGTAAACTGAGTACACGTAAATTTTGGGGTGCTCTGGAAAGGCACTGAGAAACCTCCGTCAATGCCACATACCCTCTAGTGAGCAGATCCCCACCTAGGTGCACAGTTACTCAGGGGTTCCTCCCGCTCCCGAAGACACAGAGGAATGCTGCCAGCAGCACAGCTCCAACTGTCTATCAGCATCAGGGCCGCTCAAGAAGCTAC